AGCTACACATTGAATACCCATAGACATAAACATGGGAACAGTAGACACTGCAGACTCCTAGAGAGGGGAGGAAGAAGGGCATGGGTCAAAAATCTACCTGTTGGGTATTGCTTATTACCTGAGTGCAATATACCCTTCTAAAAAACCTGTACATGTACCCCCAATATCTAAAATAAAAGTTGAGAAAAAATGAGTTCAATTGTAAATGTGTGCATTTATTTCTGGATTCTCTGTTCTGTTCCATTGTTCTATTTACTTCTGGGTTCTCTGTTCTGTTCCAAACCAGCGTTGGTACTGGTTTTTAATGCCAATAACAAGGCTGTGTGATTATCATCCCCTCTTATCTCTCATTCTCTCTCCCTCTAGACAAAGAGCTTCCTGAGAGTCCTTCATTACTTTCTTTGAGTTCCCAGCACTTGGCACAGTCACTGGGACATGATAAGTGCTCAAAAATATTTGAGAAATTATACTGAAATTAAGAACTATTGGACTTCTTCTCCAAGAAAACACGAAATGGCGAATGACGCTGGTGCGGCGGGGAGCCCAGAGGCCCTGGTGGCCCTGGGATGGGGAACAGCGGTGGCTTCTGTGGAGGTTTCGGCAGTGGCATCCGGGGCCTGGGTCGCAGAGCTCATGGAGGCAAGGCCGAGGATAAGGAGTGGATGCCCGTCACCAAGCTGAGCCCCTTGGTCAAGGACATGAAGATCAAGTCCCTCGAGAGTATCTCTCTCTTCTCCCTGCCCATTAAGGAATCTGAGATCATTGACTTTTTCCTGGGGGCTTCTCTCAAGGACGAAGTTTTGAAGATTATACCGCTGCAGAAGCAGACCCGTGCTGGCCAGCGCACCAGGTTCAAGGCTTTTGTTGCTATCGGGGACTACAATGGCCACGTCGGTCTGGGTGTTAAGTGCTCCAAGGAGGTGGCCACCGCCATCCGTGGGGCCATCATCCTGGCCAAGCTCTCCATTGTCCCCGTGCACAGAGGCTAGTGGGGGAACAAGATCGGCAAGCCCCACACCGTCCCTTGCAAGGTGACAGGCCGCTGCGGCTCTGTGCTGGTGCGCCTCATCCCTGCACCCAGGGGCACTGGCGTCGTCTCAGCGCCTGTGCCTGAGAAGCTGCTCATGATGGCTGGTATCGATGACTGCTACACCTCAGCCCGGAGCTGTACTACTACCCTGGGCAACTTCGCCAAGGCCACCTTTGATGCCATCTTTAAGACCTACAGCTACCTGACCCCTGACCTCTGGAAGAAGACTGTATTTACCAAGTCTCCCTATCAGGAATTCACTGAACACCTCGTCAAGACCCACAGCAGAGTCTCCGTGCAGCGGACCCAGGCTCCACCTGTGGCTACAACATAGGGTTTTTATACAAGAAAAATAAAGTGAATTAAGCCTGAAAAAAAAAAAAAAAGAAATATTGGAGAATCTACAGACAGCAGCCAAGAAAGATGAAAACGGCATTCACAAAGAAAGAAAAAGAAAAGCTGGCACACTGTTTAGCCTAAAGAAAATAATGAGGCATTTACCAGTCTTCAAAGAGATTTGATAATGAATTTTTAACCAAAAGATGCTAAGTTTGAAGGAGTCATTTTTACATATAAGTGCACTTTATGCATGCTATCCCTTAATCTGAAAGAATAGGAAAGAGGGGACGGGCAGGAGGGAAGGAGAGAGAGAGAGAGAGAGGGAGAGAGAGAGAGAAATTAAACTACCCTGGGTTACACGCAGATTTCTCCATAGCATCTTTCAGTGGCAGAAAATAGTGGTGTGATGTCTACACCATTCTGACGAAAATAATGACCCTAAAGTGTGATCCTAAAATGCTATGTCCAGTCGAGTTGTCCTTTTAACTGTAAAGCTCAAAGACAGTCATTCTTAAATATATGAACACTCAAGAAATACAATACTCATAAATCTTCCTCGACAGAATTTTGGCCACAAAATCCAGATAACCAAGAAGTGAATAATAGTGAGGACTGAATCGATTTCAATGTAAAATGGAGACTGAATAATTATGGAAGTTAAGGTAATAGAACAGAATATAAATGTTATTAGAACTAAAAAAAAATAAAAATCTAAAGGTGGGAGAAAGAAGGTTAGAAGCCATGAGCAGGCTAATTTCCTTATCTATAGCAGAAAGTCAATAAATACTATCTAAAGTTGAAATGCATAATTATAAAATGATTCCAGAGGAGGTAAAGTTGCTGTCCAGTTAGTTTCCCTGTCTACTCAAAGGACTAAACTAGAGAGTGGACTTTGCCACTAAGTTCCATTATATATTTAAGAACTATCTTCTTGAAATCAAAATTGATTGAGGACTATCCTTTCCCTAAAATTAAAAGAGGCAACAATCTCCACATTAGATGTTTTAAAGGTTGGGTAACCAACTATCTGTCTGCAGTTTAGAAATGAGTGCAGAGAGATATTAGTGTCCTTATAAGCTGCAAATTTCTGGTGTCAGAAAGAAGGCTGAAGCCTACCACCCACTAGCCCTAGGCTCTGGTGTTCATCCCACTATTATCAAACCACCAATGAGAACAAACTAAAATGAAAAAGAATGGAACCAGCCAGCCAGTACAATCTTAGTGCTTAGGCAAGGAGATGCAAGAGAGACCAGGACAATGAGCTCAGACCCATCTCCAAATCCTCAGGGTTAAGATCCAAAGAGAGCGAGCAAGGGAGAGAGACTGGTAAACGGGATAGCAGTCTTTATAGATAGTAGCCTCTCTGCTTGAGGAAGAAGGCATAAGGATCCGAACATAAATTCCTAGGGGCCTAGTTCTGTAATTTTTGTCCAGCAGCAATACAGACAGTGAATGAGACAAAGCAAGAGGAAGAAAAATGATAGCCCAGTCTTACCACGTATGCACACAATCTCTTTGTACACTTGCAGTCTCTCACACAGATGCCTTGAGTATCCTGTGCCCTTTGCCTTCATAGTTAGAGAACACCCCTTACCTGTCTGCCACCTGTTGTTTCTTCTTCCCTGTTTCTGGTTATCTCCATAACTGGAGTCTCTCCTCAGACAAAAACAAAACCCATCTATCTTTCTCTCGGTTTCAACAGGCAATCCCTAATTTGCCATTGCCATGAAAACTTTGGGGTACTGGGGAGAAGGAAAAGAAGGAGAAGCAGACTTTGTTTGGCTAGTGATTGTCAAACCTTGGTGCAGAAAAGGACTTCTGGGAAAAGAGTTAGCAGAGAGAGCACAAGACAAGAGAAAAAGAAAAGAAAGAAACTTTCTGGGCATGTTGCTTTGGCTGAAGAATGTGTCAGAAAAAGAAGGAAAATCTGAGTTTGCCATTGTCAGCACCCTGACTCCTAGAATGTTGTCTTAGGTCGCGTCTGAGCACTTTACTCAGTGTCTTTCCACTCAAGCATTAATTTGGCTGTAGTGACTGGAGCAAAATCCCTGTGTCTCAATGCCCGATTTCTTCATCAGTGGAAGGAGGACATATGAAATGGTAAAGTTTCTTAAAACAATCTAGAGAGATGCAGGGGATCACAGTATTATATGTGAAGTTCCTTCCCAATGAGATACCATCTCACACCAGTTAGAATGGCAATCATTAAAAAGTCAGGAAACAACAGGTGCTGGAGAGGATGTGGAGAAATACGAACACTTTTACACTGTTGGTGGGATTGTAAACTAGTTCAACCATTATGGAAAACAGTATGGCGATTCCTCAAGGATCTAGAACTAGAAATACCATATGACCCAGCCATCCCATTACTGGGTATATACCCAAAGGATTATAAATCATGCTGCTATAAAGACACATGCACACGTATGCTTATTGCTGCACTATTCACAATAGCAAAGACTTGGAATCAACCCAAATGTCCATCAGTGACAGACTGGATTGAGAAAATGTGGCACATATACACCATGGAATACTATGCAGTCATAAAAAAGGATGAGTTTGTGTCCTTTGTAGGGACATGGATGCAGCTGGAAACCATCATTCTGAGCAAACTATCACAAGAACAGAAAACCAAACACCACATGTTCTCACTCATAGGTGGGAACTGAACAATGAGATCACTTGGACTTGGGAAGGGGAACATCACACACTGTGGCCTATTATTGTGATTATTTACTCTAAATAATTCTTATATCTTAGAGATATGCTCTGAAATATTTACTGATAAAATGACATGATGTCTTGAATTTGGTTCAACATAAGGAATTAAAGTCAGATTGGTCTTGGTTTGACAATTGTTAAAGCTGAATGATGGGTAAAAGTGAGTTTGTTATACTACTCTCTCTACTTTTGCATGTTCTTAAAATTTTCCATTATAAATATGTTAAAAATACTTTTGTGAACTCCTACTCGGTGACAGGTGCAGAGGATGCAACAGCAGGTTTTGATAACAAAATAATTCAAATTTATTTGATTTCTTCTTACCTAGCCACTTTTCTCTTGTGCTCTGCTATAGATGAAATACTTCATTTCACAGAAAGAGAGTCCTATCCCAGTTTACATGGTTGGCTTGAGTCCTCAGCTATGTAATGGGCTCAAGAAAAATTATTGTTCTAGATTATCTGGCATTTTCTCTGCTAAATTGGGAGCAACACTCTTACATAATTTTTCTACATTTCTTTTCCAATTATAAGTACAAATATAGGAATTTTGACTAGAATTTTACTAAAGTTAACATTAGAGATTGTACAACATTATACAATTTGATCTTATATCCAGAAATACGGGTATTTTCACTCATTTTACAAAAAGCATCTTCCAGATTCTTTATGATATGGAGTTATGATTTGTTAACTGATTTTAACTTAAATTCCATATTGTTACAAACACAAACTGAAGTGGCTTCAATTTTATGGTATTAAAACATATTTAAAGCAAACATGGAAATTGAAAAATATTAGGTTGGAACCAAATAATCATAAAGGTACCTAGGATTATAACAAAAATTAAACGTTATATTTAACTCTGAGATTCCTAGGAGAAAAGACAAAAAGGGAAACTGTACATTATATAGTTCTCATAGTTTAATAGAAAGAATGCATTTTTTTGGTAGGTAGTTCCTTTTAGAAATAACAAAATAGAAAATGAGTTCAACCACTGCTTTATAGAAAATAGGGAAATGTTCTTCAATTGAGCATTTCTTTTCCTCACATTAATAAACTCTGCACACACCTCCTATGTTAATAGGAAATAGGAATTCCAGATAACAAATGTGGAAAGTTGAAATAATCCTGACAAATTTTTCAAATCAATTGTTGAAAATCTTTATTTAGAAAAAAATCTTTAGTTGGAAAACAGCAGAAACCAAAGAAAAACACACTTCATGTAAACAACAGAACACTATGCTAAGTTTAGTTCTACAATAAAAGCCACACAAATCTGTCTGTGGCCAAGGATGAGGATACAGAGAAAAGAAAAAGAAAATTGAGAGAGAGGTAGAAGATAACTCTTTGCTTACTGCAGGTCTTGTCACCTCTGGAAAATAAGAAGTTAGGATGGCCCTAGTCTACTAGCATGCCAGAGGTAGAACCAATATAATCTCCTAAAATATGAGATTTGTGTCAATTCTTAGGGTAACTCACTAAGGTGGTTTGGTTCCACCAATGAATAAAGTTTCTAATTCTACACTAAGCTCATCCTTTGGAACATCAATCTCATCTCCAGATTCTTCCCCAAGCTTCTTCCACCAGGGTGCTTGTATGTGCTTCAGGGTTGTGAGATGGGCCTGCTTGGCCTTGGCTGCCACAGGCCTGGATCTACTTAGGAAGAGCTCAGGTTCTTTGCCTTCTGCCTCCTTTAGACTTGGTGCCTCTGTAGTGGACAGAAAATAAATAGATGAGAACAAGAGTCCTATGCCAGGCAGGTAGGAACTTGGAAGCTACAGAGCTGTAACTCTGCAGGCAGAAACAGCATTCCAACTCTGAATGTATTACTTTTGAGACAGGGTCTCGCTCTGTTGCCTACGCTGGAGTGCAGTGGCATGATCACGGTTCACTGCAGCCTCAACCTCCTGGGCTCAAGTGATTCTCCCACCTCAGCTTCCTAAGTACCTGGGACTATGCCACCACACCCAGCTAATATATTTTCTCTTTTTTGTAGAGATCTCACTATGCTGCCCAGGCTGGTCTCAAACTTCTGGACTCAAGCAATCCTTCTGCCTCAGCTTCCCTAAGTGTTGGGATTACAGCCATGAGTCAACATATTTGGCCCACTTCTGGTTTTTTTGAGATGGAGTTTTGCTCTTGTTGCCCAGGCTGGAATGCAATGGTGCGATCTCAGCTCGCTGCAACCTCCGCCTCCTAGGTTCAAATAATTCGCCTACCTCAGCCTCCCGAGTAGCTGGGATTACAGGCGTGCACCACCATGTCTGGCTAATTTTGTATTTTTAGTAGAGATGGGGGTTTCACCATGTCAGTCAGGCTGGTCTCGAACTCCTAACCTCAGATGATCTGCCTACCTCGGCCTCCCAAAATGTTGGGATTACAGGCATGAGCCACCGCGCCTGGCCATTTCTGTGTTTAAAGGAATAAAAAAAGATGTAGATTTTTGTAAGATGGTTTATTTATTTATTTTATTATTTTTGAGACGGAGTCTTACTCTGTCACCTACGCTGGAGTGCAGTGGCACGATCTCTGCTCACTACAACCTCCGCCTCCCGGGTTCAAGCAATTCTCCTGCCTCAGCCTCCCGAGTAGCTGGGATTACAGGCACCCACCACCATGCCCAGCTAATTTTTATATTTTTAGATGGGGTTTCACCATGTTGGTTATGCTGGTCTCAAACTCCTGACCTCGTGATCCGCCACTTCGGCCTCCCAAAGTGCTGGGATTAGAGGCGTGAGCCACCTCGCCTGGCCAAGATGGTTTATTTAAAGAACAGAAACTTTAATAGAACCTCGTCCTATAGATGAGAGGCTCAGTTTCAGCCATTTATCCAATTTCAAAATATAAAATTCCCAAATAGTAGCCATTAAAGAAAACACTGGTCCTTTCTGTTCACATACACTAAAGAAATCCAAGAGGCTGACTGAAACACAGGGGCTTCATGGATGGGATCTCTCGTTAAATGGGTCAGTGGTTATGATGAATTAATTTTTGTAAAAGTACTTCATTAAAAATTATAGGCCAGGCGCGGTTGCTCACGCCTATAATCGCAGCACTTTGGGAGGCCGAGGTAGGCAGGTCACAAGGTCAAGAGACCGAGACCATCCTGGCCAACGTGGTGAAACTCTGTGTCTACTAAAACTACAAAAATTAGCTGGGCATGGTGGTGCTCACCTGTAGTCCCAGCTGAGGCAGGATAATCATTTAAACCTGGGAGGCAGAGGTTGCAGTGAGCCAAGATCACGCCACTGCACTCCAGCCTGGCAACGGAGGAAGACTCCGTCTCAAAAAAATAAAAAAAAATTATAAAATGCGCTACAAGAGAATGACACTGTAACTATTGTCATCATCTACTTATAAAATATGACCAAAAGCTTTTCAGATTACATAGTAAAAGATGGCTAGTAGGGCTCAGCATCTGAAATTAATAACTTCGGGGTGACACATATGAATGATGGCAAGGCTTGGGGAAACACGTAAGAAGGAGGTTATTAAATCTGCATCATTTGAAAACATTATGTGCTGGTCTGATCTATGTAAAAATTTCCTGAGGTTAGGGGATGAGCTAAAGATGCTTACTAATGGTTTCCTTCTGAAGGTTTTGGATGTCACAAACCTTGCATAGGTTGTTCCTTTTAGAGAACAAAAGTAAAATGAGCACATACTCATTAGCTGTTCAACATTGGTGCTGATCTGTGCCATCAGAGCTTCTCTGTGCTGCTGGGCTCGCTCTTCCACGGCCCTGCCCATGAAGTAGTGTTGCAGTCGTTCTTGAGCTTGGGCATGGAGTTCCCTACTGACCACATCTGACATTGGAGAGCCCTGGAAACACAGGACAGAAAAACTTATCACAAAGAGGACATAGGTATCAAAGTACCCAACCACTTAGCAGAGGTTTTAGAATGCTTAGCTGTCTCTCATTTTATCAATTGAATCTTATGATTGATGTCTATCTTGTATTCTTATGCAAGTATTAAATAGTCTCTTAAAAGTTTTAGATAAAAATAATGGTGGAGAAGTTTTTTGTCTTTCTTTTTCGTAAGTGACCATACTTTACTTTCTCAGACACTGTGGAATTACGGGAGAGGAGATAAAAAACAACTACAAAAAAACAACCTGATTAAAAAATGAACAAAATATAATCCTGTGGAAAAAAAATGACTTGAATAGACATTTCTGAAAAAAGATAAAGAAACGGCCAGTAAACACATGAAAAGATGCTCAAAATCACTAATTAGGAAAATGCAAGTTCAAACCATAAGATACAACTTCATATCTATTAGCTGCTATCAAAAACAACAACTACAACAAAAATAACTAATGCTGACAAGGATGTACAGAAACTGGAACCCTGTGTGTGACTGGTGGAAATGTAAAATGGTACAGCCACTATGGAAAACAGTATGGCAGTTCCTCAAAAAATTTTTAAAAAGACTTAGCATATAATCTAGCATTTACATTTCTGGATACTCACCCAAAAGAATTGAAAGCAAGTACACAAACAGATATTTGTACACATATGCTCACAGTAGCATTATTCACAATAGCCAAAGGGTGGAAGGAACCCAACTGTTCCTTGGATAAACAAAATGTAGTATACATAATGGAATATTATTCAGCCTTTAAAAAGTAGAAAATTCTGACACATGCTAAAACATGAACCTTGAAGACATTATACCAAGTGAAACAACGAAGTATGATTCCACTAATGGGGTACTTAGAGTAGGCAAATTCATAGAGACAGAAAGTAGAATGGTGGTTGCCAGGAGCTGGGTAGTGGGGGAATGGTGAGTTAGTGTTTAATGGATGCAGAGTTTCAGTTCTGCAAGATGAAAAAAGTTCTCAAGATGGATGGTGGTGATGGTTGCACAAACAATATGAACGTACTCAATGCTAGTACACTACATTTAAACATAGTTAAAATGGTACTTTTTACATTTTATCTATTTTACCACTCTGAAAATAAATAAATTTTAAAAATACAGGTACATGAAGCCACACAAAACTTACTGTATCAGAACTTCTTGGGGTGTGTGGGGCTTGGGTATATAATTTTTATAAAGGTGATTAAATTTGTAAATGATTAAAACTGTTAAAAGCAATATGTCCTCTCTACAGAGCTTAGGAACTGATTATTTATTGGAGAGAAGGCATGCTTCTGTCTGTCCTCATTCCATCTCTGCTTTAAAAACTTTCAGTTGTGGTTCTGCCCCTCTCTCCAATTAGGTTCTGGTGCTTGGCTAAGGGAGGAGTTGCTAATATGCTTGATAAGCACTTAAGAGATTCGTTGGCCATATACACCATGGAATACTATGCAGCCCTAAAAAAGGATGAGTTCATGTGCTTTGCAGGGACATGGTTTATGTCCTGGAAGCTGGAAACCATCATTCTCAGCAAACTAACACAAGAACAGAAAACCAAATACTGCATGTTCTCACCCATAAGTGGAAGTTGAAAAATGAGAACACGTGGACGCAGGGAGGGGAACATCACACAGTGGGGCCTATCAGGGGATGGGGAGCTAGGGGAGGGATAGCATTAGGAGAAAAACCTAATGTAGATGACAGGTTGATGGGTCCCAAACCACCCATGGCATGTTATACCCATGTAACAAACCTGCACGTTTCGCACATGTATCCCAGAACTTAAAGTATAATAGTAACTAAAAAGAAGAGATTCATTGGCCATGTTTTATAGGTGGCCAGGCTGATTAGTTTTAAAAGCTCAGGACCCCTAAAATTTTTTTAAGCACTTAGATTAAAAGAACTTTATTAAAAATACAGCTTTATTCACTCCTCAGCAAATGTACAACAACAGAAATTATAACAAACTGTCTCTCAGACCACAGTGCAATCAAACTAGAACTCAGGACTAAGAAACTCAATCAATCAAAACCCAATTGAGAGTTACCATCTCAACACCAGTTGGTTGATGGCTAATCATTAAAAGTCAGGAAAACAATAAAAAACAGGGTTGCTGGACGAGGATGTGGAGAATGAGTTAACACTGTTTACGACTGTTTGGTTGGGGTTGTTAACTAGTTCTTTCCCATTGTTGGAAACAGTTACGGTGATTCTCAAGGGATCTTAGATGAACTGAAGATACCATTAGACCCAGCCATCTCCTATTAACTTGGTTTTAACACCAAAAGGGATTATAAATCATGCTGCTTATAAAAGACACAATTGCACACCGTATGTTTATTGCAGCACTTATTCACATAGCAAAAGATTTGGATCCACCAAATAATGTCCGTAAGTGACCGACTGGATTCAAAGAATGGTCGGTAATTAACCCGGATGGAATACTATGCAGTCATAAAAAAGGAATTGGAAGTTCGGTTGGTTCCTTGTAGGGGAACATGGGATGCAGGCTGGGACCTCATTTTCAGCCAAACTATCACCAAAGAGAGGAAAACCAAGCTGCATTGTTCTCACTTTAGGTGGCTGATGAACAATGAGAGTCATTGGGAACCAGGGGAAGGGCGACACTCACGAAACAACTGGGCATATTATTGGGAGGCAGGAAGATGGCCAATTGGGGCGTCCTCATACCTGATGTAAATGACGAGTTGCCATGAGGTGCCTTGATG